AGGGATTTTAAAGGGATTTTATAATTTTTCTAATACAGGTTAATTAATATATATTTTAATTTGGCTTTTAAATATTTATTGTATAGCTCTGTTTTTATTTACCTGTAAGCCGCCCTGAGTCCCTCGGGAGAAGGGCGGGGTATAAATTAAAGTAATAAATAAATAAATAAATAAATAAATAAATAAATAAATAAATAAAATTAAGATTGCTGGAAGAAATATCAACAACCTCAGACATGCAAATGATACTCTAATGGCAAAAAATTAAGAGCCTCTTGATGAGAGAGAAAGGAGAGTGCAAACGTTGGCTTGAAACTCAACATAAAACAAATGAACAAACCCTAAGATCATGGCATGGCAAATAGAATGGGAAAAATGGAAGCAATGACAGATTTTATTTTCTTGGGATCCAAGATCACTGCACATGATGATCATAGCCACAAAATTAAAAGGTATTTGCTCCTTGGGAGGAAAGCTATGGCAAATCTAGACAGCATATTAAAAAGCAGAGACATCACCTTTTCAAGAAAAGTCTGTATAGTCAAAGCTATGGTTTTCCCATGTTTGGCTCTGAGTGTTGCACCATAAAGAAAGTGAAACAATTGATGCTTTAAAATTGTGATGTTGAAGAAGACTCTATAGAGTCCCTTAGTTGATTCTAAAGGAAATAAACCATGACTGTCCTTTGGGAGGTCAGATAATGAAACTGAAGCTCAAATGCATTGGCCACCAAATAAGAAGTGAAGAGTCATTGGAAAAAGACCCTGATGTTGGGAAAAAAATGAAGGCAAAAGGAGAAGGGGACACCAGAGAATGAAATGGATTGAAAGGGTCATCAACACAGTGGGCATGGGTTTTGTTGGACTATGGAAGATAGTAGAGGACCGGGGACCCCAGCATGGTGTGGTCCATGGAGTTGCAGAAGGTTGGGCCCAATTTAGTGATTGAACAACTACATATTTCATCTATTCTCAACATTCTAGATGTATATTACATATTCACCAATTACATATTTAAAGAGAATGAATAAAAAAGAGAGCAACTTATTCCTTTTTTTGAAAAAAAAGTTAAAATAATGTGTAATTGATGTAATTTCCCTAAAAAGATAGCCATCATTATATCTTGGGAGTTTTGATAAAAAAATTACATACAAATTTATGAGGTATGAGAAGAAGTACATTTCTGTTTCTTTTATTTTTCTTTCCTTGTGCTTCTGGGTAACATCTTGTTTCCATATTCTATTTTTTTCATAATGTTGAGCTATCTAATATGTCCCCTTCTACATTGTTTTGGATGATACCTGCCAGGCTTTTTCAAGTAGATACTCTTGTCTCATGTTTTTTATCTTTGCCTTCTCTTTTGACTTGGATGAAGTTAAGGCATACAAAGCATATGCTATAATGTAAACGGCATTGTAGATACTATAACTGTGACCAGACATGCTTGTGTCAAACAGTGTTCCAGGTAGACTATCCAACCTTTCTTCCCCAGTGCATATCTTATCATCTCTCTGTGGTAAACTGGATTTTGAGAAATCACAATTAAATGCATCTTTCCAGAAGATTCTGATAAACCCATCTTTATTTTCTGAGAGGGGGTTTCGTCCCTTCTGAAATTTCTGGAATCCTCTAGGGTAGTTTGTATGAACAGCAAATGATAGAGCTCCATGGAGGAAATGTATGTCCCAATCTCTTAGAAAACCAGGAGATGTAAAATCCATCTGGGCTGTCATAATCCACACTCGGCTTTCAATTGTTACATCAGAAAATTGTGAAAATTGAAAAACTGTTCTTAAGACACTAATAGTATGTATTTCACCTTGAATGATAACAGTATTGGCAGTACTTCCTATGACAATATGTGAAGTTGCAAACCATTCTGATGCAATTGCAGCAAAATTGCCTGAAAAGGACATTTGGGGCATTGTTTCTAAGAAGTCCACACAGATACCCTTCTGAGAATATAAGGGAAGTATGTGCTGTACAAATACATCTCCATTGTCATTATCATAAGAAATCACACCAATCCAGGTCCACTTGAAATACAGTAGCAACTCAAGAATGCCAAAATAGTGATGGATTGCATTGGGAAACATATGGTGAAAAAATATGTCTTCATTTTTGTCATTTATTATTGGGGAAAACCCATATAAAATCTTGGCCCAAAAAAAAACCAACAAGAAAAGAGATCAGACACAAACAAAATGAATTTTCTCATACTTTTAGTAGAAAGATAAACCATTAGAACTGGTTTCATTCTTTTCTGTTTTCATATTTGTATTTATATATTTTTTCTGAACATTTAAATATTTCTTATGACAAATATGCAAGGTAATTTATTTTTCTAGACCACAGGTATTTCAGGAAATATTATTATTTCATAAGACATTTTGCTATTGAACAGCATCGACTGCAATTTTATGCATAGGTTTGAACTTTCCAAAGCTTTTTCAAAAACTCCAAAGCAATGTTTCTCAGCTTGATCATAACTGAAGATGGATCATAAGCTTTCTAACAGACAGGAACCAGCAGGTGAAACTAGATAAAACCACACTGAATACCCATTCCATTAGCACAGGAGCCCTCCGGAGCTGTGTGCTCTCTCCTTTATTCTTTTCTCTCTATACCAATGACAGTATTTCGAAGGATCCCTCTGTTAAAGTACTGAAGTTTGCAGAAGACACAACAGTCATTGGTCTCATCTGAGATGATGAGGACTCTGCACACAGAGGAGGGGTAGAACAACAAGTCCTGTGGTACAGTCAGAACAATCTACAGCTGAATACTTTTAAAACTTTAGATATGGTAGTAGATTTTAGAAGAAGCCCTCCTATTCTATTACATCTTACAATATTAGACAACACAGTATCAACAGTAAAGACCTTCAAGTTTCTGTGTTCTATAATCTCCCAGGACTTGAAAGGGACACCTAACATAAGAACCACCATTAAAAAGGCACAACAAAGAATGTTCTTCCTGTGTCAACTCAGAAAGCTCAGATTGCCCAAGGATCTGCTGATCTGGTTCTACAGAAGATGTATTGAGTCTATCATTTGTACCTCTATAACTGTCTGGTTTGGCACAGCAACAAACAGGAGAGGTACAGACTTCAATGGATAGTTATGACTGCAGAAAAAAACAATTGCAACCTCCCTGCATTTCATTCAGGACCTGTATACAGCATGAACCAGAAAGAGGACTGAGAAAATTACAGATCCCTTATATCCTGGACATAAACTGATTCAGCTTCTACCTTCAGGATGCCACTATAGGGCATTGCATGCCAAAACAACTAGACACAAAGATAGTTTCTTCCCCCATGCCATCACTGTGCTATTCCTAACTCCTCCTCTTCTGCCCAAAGATATTTAGCCATGTAGTAGGCTGCATTGATATTATCCTTCTCACCTTCACATCTTTCTCATCTTCTCACCTCTCATCTTTCCTACCACCTTCTCCTATTGGTATATTATGATTTATCAATTGTTGTATCTTATGAATAACAATAACAACAGCAACAGCAACAGCAACAGCAACAGCAACAGCAACAGCAACAGCAACAGCAACAGCAACAACAACAACAACAACAACAACAACAACAACAACAATAATAATAATAATAATAATAATAATAATAATAATAATAATAATAATAATAATAATAATAATAATAGAGTTGGAAGGGACCTTGGAGGTCTTCTAGTCCAACTCCCTGCTCAGGCAGGAAACCCTATACCATTTCAGACAAATGGCTGTCCAGTCTCTTCTTAAAAACTTCCAGTGTTGGAGCATTCACAGCTTCTAAAGGCAAGTTGTTCCACTGATTAATGGTTCTAACTGTCAGGAAATTTCTCCTTAGTTCTAGGTTGCTTCTCTCATTGATTAGCTTCCATCCATTGCTTCTTGCCCTGCCTTCAGGGGCTTTGAAGAAAAGTTTGACTCCCTCTTCTTTGTGGCAACCCCTGACATATTGGAACACTGTTATCATGTCACTCCAAATCCTTCTCTTCATTAAACTAGACATACCCAATTCCAGCAACTGTTCCTTATATGTTTTAGTCTTGATTTCCCTAATGATTGTATGTTATGAATACAGCAGAGCAGAGCGGAGCGGAGCGGAGCGGAGCGGAGCAGAGCAGAGCAGAGCAGAGCAGAGCAGAACAGAACAGAACAGAACAGAACAGAACAGAACAGAACAGAATAGAATAGAATAGAATAGAATAGAATAGAATAGAATAGGAGATGGATTCATTTATACTTTCCAAATTATTTTTAATTTCCTAGTGGTTTAAGATAATTGTTGTTTGAATTAGTTGCAACATCTCATACATCTCCAATTTGACTTCACGGCAAAAAAAACTCTCAGAAGTTAATAATAATGGAGAGGGAGTAGATAAAGCAGATAACTGAATATAAATTGGAGGAAAGAGATTTAAAGATGGAACCTAATAATATAAGGAAGTATGACTTGACTCAAGTGGAGAAGGACTTACAAGAAACATTGGACATGTAAAAGATAACTTGTACTCTAAGACCACAAAATAAATCTGAGGATAAGAAAAAAGATTTGATAAAATGGATTGCAGAACTATCAGGAGTACCATGAGAAATGGGGATACAAGGGATGATGAGAGAAACTAAGAGAGAAAGAAAAGACAGGATCTTTAATGAATATGAAGGGGCAAAATATTTTTACAAAGACTTGTTGCTTTGTAGGATTATGGAAAGACTTTTTGATTCAATGGAATAATTGATTGGGGAAGATGTTTGGCAAAAGAAGAAGGCTAAAGTGAGAATTGAGGAATTAGATGATGGGATGTATCAGAGATAATATTTAAAAATTAAACACTTGCTTGACTATGGTTGAAGAAATAGAAAGATTTTAGCTTAAGAGAGATGAACCCCCCAAGTAATATAGTATTCTTTCTTTTCTCTTTTTTTTACTTTGTTTTTTGATATGAGAAATATAAAAAAGGTTTGGGATGGTCAATATAAAGGAAATGTTTTAGATATTTAAAGGTAATTGACCTTAAGAAAATTCCAACGAATAATTAAAAATAATGTTTTGAATTGAATTAAAAGATTAGATGATTGGATTTATTAATGGAACATCTAAAGATTAAACATATATTTAATTATGGGTAAAAATAACAGAAAAAATTGGAAATAAATATATATTAATTTAAGAGGGATATGTATTTTAAGTAATATATTATTTTCTTATTCTTTTCTCTCTCTTTTTTCTCTCTTCTATTTTTTTGTGTTTTTTTTTTACTTTTTAAGACATGAGAAATGTAGGGATGGCCTATATGAGGAAAATAGATTTAAATACTTAAATGTAATTAACCTTGAGAAAATCTTAATCAGTAAGAATGTTTTGAACATTGTAGGGAAAACAAATTTAAATAAGAATTATAAATAGGATTTATAATGAGGCAACCAAGATGAACAGATAGAAAAGAAGCATGATGTTGATGTGATTATTATTTGTAGAAATTTTAGAAAAATCTTTATATTTAATTGTTATCTATCAAACTAATAAGAATTGTATCAATTCAAGATTGGCAAAGAGAATATTATTGAAAGAAAAGAAAATCAAGCAAAGCTATTATGTGGACTTTGGAATATAGAAATTGATTGTTAGTGATTACTTTGCAAATATAAGCCCAGACAAAACGTTGTTTACCAAATATTAAGGTGTTTATGTTAAAAAAATCAATAAAATATATTTTTTTAAAAAATTAAGTGTGGCAACTTTTCCAGCATCCAATTACAGTTTGACCAACTACTGTTTCAGTGCTTCATAAATACATCACCTAGCAAAGTCATAAAATTTCCATCTTTCATCTCCCATTTACCAAACTATCTTAAACTTAATGAACCTGAATATTTCATATCTTTTTTACCTGTGGAATCTTGTAGGTGCTCAAGATGTTTGTCATGTGGAGACAGACTTGAGAATTAGGTCCCCCAATGACTCCCACAATCTTATTCTGAATATCACATTTGTAATTAGGGATGAGCTTGTCCTGAGTGGATAAAAGTTCCATTGAGGCAAGATAGATCCATCTTGGCAAAAAATAGCTGTTTAAGATGTGGAAGCCCAAACTGACATTGGGTAAGATTTGAAGATTCTCATTGAGTTCCTTCACAGCAAATGCCAAGGCCAGGATATGCTGGTAATTCTGAGTGAACATCCTAGGTTATGAGCAATAGGTCCCAGGTTACAGACAAAAGACAAATGCAGATATGTCAGATATGTCCAAGAAACATACATTAAAAAAAACCAGGACATACGTTTCTGTTAAAGCAATGGAAATTGAGACAAAAATATGCAGATATGTACATAGTAAAAACTAAAGTGAAATAGTAATTTATATCAAATCAAATGTATTGGAAGATTTGGATTAATCAAAAGAGAGCAGGGAGAATATTAATAAAAAATATGAAAAGAAAAAATTAAAGCAATCATGCTGGCTTCTACATATGCTCCAAATAAAAATGAAAAACCATGTTATAATATATTGCAAATTAGCAAATATTAAAAAGGAGGGAAACAAATGTAACACATTGTTTTCCCTTTTCTTTCTTTTCTGCTTATTATCTTTTTGTATTTTAATATTGTTAAACTTGCTTTGCCCAACTCTTTTTCCATTTTAATATATGCTGTATATATGTACAGAAATATCTGTATTTATTATCGTGCATATTATATTCTAATTTTATATATATTTAAATTGTATACAAACATCTCTCTCTACCTACCTACCTACCTACCTACCTATCTACATACATACATACATACATACATACATACATACATACATACGCGGGAGAAAACCCGAATAACTAAAGACCTACATACAAACACCCGCGAAAACCTCAGAAAACATATATATATATATACATATATATATATATACATATATATATATATATACATATATATACATACCTGACATTCATAATAGAAAACAACTACAGAAAGCTTCTATTATATCTTTGCAATTTGCAATTTGCAATAAACACATGGGAATTTTTATATATAGTACTAATGTGTTGAATAAAATCTGCCATCTTCTCTTCTTTTCATGCCTAAATTGGAGCTTTAGATGAAACCCCCGCATGAAACTAACTAGCATCTGGCCACATAGAAGATGCATTTGATTTTTCAGCCTAAGGTACTTACAAAAGGTCATCAAAAGTTTCATCAGAAGGTAGCTTCTGAAATGTTATTGTACTTGAAAAAATGTAGACTTGAGAGGTAATGCTAGCAATGATGAAATCCCCAGGCTGGTAATACTTGTGGAGAATAGGCAGAGGTGCCTTAATAGGACACTTAGCCAGAGGAATCATTCTCTGACCATAAAGTACAACCGCTAGCACTATCATCAGTGCCAAAAATAACATGATTTTATCTGAGAGTCTTTCTGCTTTATTCCAAATAGTCTGATCCCTCATTGATTTTTTAGCTCACATGGTATCACTCAACTGATTGAAGCCAGAATTGTATAGAATCCTATACCAATAATCATAACTGTACGTCTGCCTGTTTCATCCCTTATGAAAGGGAATACGAGATCATTGTTCATATCAATAAAACATAAGACATTAGTACACTTGATTGTTGACTTATCCTCCTGTCCTGAGGGAATATTCATGATTTGTATAGTATTAATTGTGGTTATTTCATAATTACAGTGAGATTAGGAAATAGTTACCAATTTTTAATTCTATATTCTCTCAAAAATTTTCAGAGCTCAACATGTTGATGACACCTCAGCTGGCATCTCCCCAATCTATCTCTTTGAAAGAATTCTCTGTAGCAGTGCCTGCCCACTGTACTCCCAAGTTTTGGATGTCACCAACTCTGTTAATATTTGTATATATGCATTTATCTCTTTCTGCATATTTGTCTATGTGTTTGTGTGAAGGTAAGAAAGAGAAAACGAATGACAAGGAAAGAAAAAAACAGTTATATCTCCTGAGCTTCTTTCTATTGAGGAATTAACATCTCATTTTTTCCCATCCTGTTTGGCCATTTTATTCCTCAATTCTAAAAATCTTAAATTTGATCTTTGTTTTTTTTTCAACACAACATCCATATAAGACTTCCATTCTTTCAAATATTTGTGTTGTTTGGTTATATGATAATGAAGTAGGAGGAACCAGTTAATGGAATATTATGGGATGACTTTGCCTCATATGCATGTATGACTTTCATGTAACTTTATATCCAATCTGCAATACTCTTACTTTTGTTTGCTATGGCAAATTGTATAAAAATTGTATAAAAATAATTTCTGCTATGTTCTTTGGTTAGGAAACCAATAGGCATCATCTTCTTAGGATTAAGATGGCGGTGCCTGGATTGGCTGCAGTTGCATTGACTCTCGAAGGTGAAAAGATTTTGTAGGGATATAAGGAATATAGGCCAAATGACCGGGAAGGTTTTAATGTGTTTGAGCAACATAGTGGGACTAAGCTAACATATGACCAACAATCTTTGCTGGTATGGTGTGTTTTTAGCTGTTTCGGAACTGTTGGTGAGACCTTTAAAAGTTGTTTGCACTGTTTGAAATTGTTCTGCCAGCCGCAAGATCTGGCACAGCGACAGATTCTATTGCAAATCAGGGCTGTTTCCAAATGAGGCAGAGGAGGAGAGGTCCCGGGGCTTATGGAGCAAAGGAACTGGATGAGGCTGTTGGCAGGCCCAGAGGAAGGGAGAGAGGCTTTTGGAGGAATTGTAGGTGGCAGCAGCCTGCTCCAGGGGTGGAAAGGAGTGAGGCCCCTTTAAGGAAAAGGTGAAAGAGACAGATCAGAACAAAAGAAGTATTTGAGGTTGTCGTGCAGGAATTTGAGGGCTAATCCACAAGGAGCTCTGTTTCCATCTGTCCTGTTTCCCATCTTTCACTCACTAGAGACTAAAATAGACATTCTGAAACTTGATCTGGCCATGAACAAGGAGTGTATACTGGAGATGATGATCCTTTGAGAGCTGTATGCAACAAAATTTCATTTTGATGTATACCGATTGGTGTACATTCAAAGTGACAATAAAGTTGTTGTTGTTATTATTATTATTTTGCTTCTATACAGAAATAAAAGACTTTTCTTTTCTTAATACTTTGTGGAAATTGGCTTCTTTATACCCGGTTTACATAGCTAGACAACCTTCAGGCTTACATTTCATTACTTTTCAACTTTTTGCATAAAATAATCTTTTTGCAGTTACTTAAAATCTGTGATTGTTTAGAAGAGCCATGAAAATCTGGCTCTTTATCAAGGCCTTCCTTGTGGGGAAGTGAGATCCTTCATTTCATTTTGCTGGTGATCTTTTTATGTTTATTTTTTGTATTCATTTTATTGTAATATCTTAAATGTTGTGAACCAACCAAAGCATTTGAAAGGTATGTGGCATTAAAATGTAATAAATTCTGTTTTATATTATGATTTTTCAGTGCTTTGTGTTAATGTTGACTCTTAATAGGAAGGGAAGATGGAAGAACATTTTACAAGCATGGAAAAAAATGAATATCAATGTGGCACTACTGAAATTAAGAAAGAACAGTTTTTTAAAGACAAGAAAATTCCAGAAAAAACTGCTGAAGATATCAGAGAAACAATTATTGAATCCCTAAAATAAGATATGGAATGGGAGAGAGAAGATACAAATGTATAAGTAGATAAAGTGAGAGAATTAATAAAAATATTGCAAAGTTAAGATATATGTTTGCAGTTCATCAGGAAGAAGACAAGAAAACAGGTTCTGCAACAACACTTCAGTACCAAGGTGAGTGTTAGTACTTATTAGAATTTTGTGCAAGAGAAAAGAAAATACCAAAAACTAAATGAGGCAGTGTCTATCATTCATAAAACAATAGTATGATACAATACAATACGATACGGTATGGCATGGTACAGTACAATACAATACAATACAATACAATACAATACAATACAATACAATACAATACAATACAATACAATACAATACAATACAATACAATACAATACAATTATATTTTCTCTTTCTTCCTCAAATCATTCTAGAAGATTTGGGGAAATCAGAGAAATTCTTTATGCTAATTCTTCATTGAACTGTAAAGTGTCCAAGAGATTGAAGACTTGTCACTAGGCAGAGTGATGCTAAGTGGAGAAATGGAAGTAATATAAAGAAAATTTTCAAGAGCATATGAAAAATAATGATCTATTGAAGTTTTGTGATCAGAAGTCATGGCCTTAAGTATCCAAGACTTTCTAACCATATCCAAGCAGATAGGAAAAACCCACATTTTTCAAGTGGTTGATAGGATTGAAGATATGAAAGATGTGTCTAGTTCAAGTGACTGATAGTCAAGAACTGTGCACACCTGGACCTTCAGCCCAAGAATGTTATTATTAGGAATGGTTTGGGGGAAAACAGGCCAAATACAAAGAGGATGACCACCAACATGACTCTGGAATTTTAGTACTGACGGATTTTGGTGAGTCCCTGGAACAACCAGAAGAGATTGGTGGATTGTCATCAATTGTGAATGCTTCATTTTGAACCAGTTTCAGTTTCTGAATGATCTTCAGAGAATATATCTTTCACTGAAACAATATTATGGAATTATACTGTATTTCTTCCCTGTCATTAACTGTTTTTTAGTATTCAGATTAGGCCTTAGTAGAATAACAAAGCATTTGGGGAAAAAAATGCAGCCCAGTAATCCTGCACTGGAAGAGAGAATAGAAAAGATCTCCACGGCCATCATGTATTTTCCTTTGGTGCTCAGATATGTTGGAAAAAAGGACAACCAGACATTGCAAAACCATAGCAGGCTGAAGAAGATAAACTTGGTTTCATTAAAACTGTCTGGTAAATGCCGAGCTTGAAAAGCCACACTGAAACCAACAATGGCAAGGAAAAGCAGGTAAAGTAAAACACAATAAAACATGAGAGTAGAGCCTTCATTACATCCAAGGATGATTTTATCTGATACTAAGTTCATATCAGCACTTGGGTATGGGGGTGAGGTTACAAGCCATACAGTGCAAACAATGACTTGAATGAGAGAACAAGAAACAACAATGTAATTATCTAATTGTTTGCCCAGCCATTGTCTCATCTTGGATCCTGGTACTGAAGCCATGAAAACTAAAATCACAATGATGGTTTTGGCCAATATACAAGAAATGACTACTGAGAAGACAATCCCAAAAGCTGTTTGTCGCAAAAGGCAGGTGATCTTTTCAGGTTTTCCAATGAATAATAAACTGCAAAGAAATGAGAGTACAAGGGAGACAAGGAGAAGGTAGGTGATGTTCCGGTTGTTGGCCTTAACTATGGGAGTGTCCTGGTATTTGATGAATATCCCAAGCACCACAGTGGCAATGCAAGCAAAGATGATTGTGACAGTGGCCAAACTGATGCCTAACGGGTCTTCATAAGATAAGAAAACTATATGTTTTGGAAGACATGAGTCATGGTTGTTGTTTGGATACTGTCCTTCTGGGCATGGCAAACAATTATCCATGTCTATATAAATGAAGGAACGAACATATGAATGAACACATTGATATTATTACAATGTAGAAGATAAGTAATATTGAAAGAAATAAGAATATAGCATAGTAGATCCTGGTTAATTCTTTGACTGGAGGCTCCCTGGCTATTAGAGAGTTATTAGCTATAGTAAGGGCACTAATAGAGTCACAGTCAGTGAAACTGTATGGAAGTTAACTTAATTAAGATTACCTCTTTGATTAATCTACCAAATATTAGAACTAATACAAAATAGGTCCAAACTATTTGTTATTTTTTTGCTTATTTACATATCTCAAAATATTAAAATAAGGTGGCATATGAAGCCATAGATATTAGGTGAAAGATACACAGTAAAAATATTTTTTTTTAAAAAGTAGGCTTTCATCTCACTGGTTAGAAAATGAATTCCTAGCTCATTGTAAATATATAACACAGTTCATTGTAATATATAACATGTGCATAATATCTCAAGATATCATTTTCAAACTACAAGAAAAGAACAGATCCTTGGAGTTTCTACAAGAAATTCATCTTACAGGTTTTCTAAAGAGTTCATTAAAAAGTGGAGACCAGTCCACATTAATCTGGCTAATCTATAAATGGAGGAGATGCAAATTTATGACAATTAGAATTTACATTTGGTTGGATAGAGCAGCACATAAGCCTTTAGCGAGGAAGCTAAGGCAGAATGCCAAAGACAATTCTGGTTTTGAGAGAACAAGTAGTCAGCATTTCATGACCTTAATTTCTTTATAGACCTATTAGCAAACTTCCTTTAGCATGCAGAGTCTATGCCTTTCTCTTGGTATTCATTGGGGTTTTATTTATTAATTGGCTGTATATCTTAAGGCTGAGATGACAAGGTTCATTGTTTCTGGGAAGGTACAGTAATTAAGGAGGAGATAAAATATTTTCCTTAATTTCACTCATCCCAATCAACCTTCTATTATCTCTAAATTTATTCCACTTAGATTTTCGTGGTATGGTTAATGTTTATAAACTGAAGAAATCTTACCTTTCTGACTTGTAATCTTGCCTTCCGGACATGGAGAGCACTCATAGCAGCAAAATGGCTTTCCTTCTATTTTGGCCCTACTGGAACCAGAATGACAATTGTCATTACACAGGGAACGAGGTCTTTTCTAAATGAAGGAGACAATATTTTTTTAAAAGAAAATATCAGTTTGGTAGTTAGAGACATTGCTCTTACTGAAATGCAGACACATATTCTATTTGCAATACCTGAGAAGATCCTCAGAATGAGACATAATAATGATCACTTCTATATGGGGCATAGATGCAATGGCAAACATTTACAGGGTTATGTGCATCATGGAAATAATGAAATAATGAAATATATTTACTAATCAATGTGTTGTATACAACAGACAGGAATTTAGGTTCATTTTAACTCATACCTTGGTCACTTATCCAAGGCAATAACCTCATTCCTCTTAATAGCAAGCTCAGTTCCTTGACAGCAGGATGGAAGTATTTTACTATTGTCCTCCAGGGTTCTTTTGTAGCAACATATTCTAAACCCTGGAGTTTTCACTTATGAAGCTATTCTAGTTCTCAATAAACTTTATAATCACATACCATACTTTAGAGCAATTTCAATTCAAAAGATGACTTCCATTTCTAAATAGCTCTATTGATGTTACAGCAGAACAGTAGGTCATCTTCCAGAATAAGTAGAGTTCTTGACGTAAAACCATTTACTTAATGACAATTTGAAATTACGATGGACTTTAGAGCTATTGTCTGAGTGATTTACAATATCAGCATCTTGCTCCAAACAATCTGGATCCTCATTTTACTGACCTCAGAAGGATGGAAGGCTGAGTCAAACTTGAGCTGTGTCAGGATCAAACTCTTAGCTATGGGCAGAGTCAGCCTGAAATAATGCATTCTAACCACTGTGCCACCATATATCTGGTTATATCTGGTTATATCATATATTGTACATTTCCCAGAGCCCCTTTCTGAGGGAGATGGACAGTTAAGAAATATAAAGTATAAATAAATAAATATGCTGTAGCATACAGTACAATGCAATCCTTTAGAATGTTGACCTATTTTGGTGAAAAAGACCTAAGCAGCATAACACTCTTCTGAAGTTCTTCAGAAGGTTGTTAAGATACTGTCATATAATTGCACATTAAACTATAGAACACATCCAAATTTAAAATACAATTATAATACCTGAATAAATAAATTCAATAGATGAAAAAGTTACATTTTGTGAATATTCAGAATGTAAATTAAGCAATTCTCAAATCTGTACAAAATGTATACCTGGTTAAATGTTGTGGGCCATACAATGGAGTCTTCATGAATGTTGAGTGATTTGGAAGAGAAAGAGTTTGGGTCTACCCATCCAACTTTGATTTTTGTAAATGTTTTATTTGAAAATGTGACCCAGTTAATAATATCAAATCCAGCAATTATATACCCTTTATCATCAAAGGAAACATTTTCTCCAGCACTGTTTTTGAAGGAAGCATTTCTTATAAACTTGTGGAACTAAATTAGAGAGAAGGTAGAGAGAAAATTATTCTATGGGAATTGTAATACTACTTAAAAAGAAGATGAATGATTTTTGAGGGGGGGAAATCTACTGAAATATGAGGAGAAGAAGAAGGAGAAAATATTCAAGTCAGTTGCCTCAGTAGAGTAGTGACACCACCTGATACGTTTGAGAGACATATTTGGGAAACAAATTACTTTTAATTTACTAGAAGCTGTTCTGTTCAGGTGTGCTGTATTTCTTTCTTATGATTTGAAACTTGCAACACAAATGAAGCTATTTTCCATTCAATTTTTCCAGTAGAAATTTTACAGTTGAAAAATAATAACATATTGATCGAGAATGTTCTACAATGTTAACAGAAATACATTCATATAAACACATTCAAAATGAAACAAACAAAATAGACACACCAAAATATTATATGTATACACATTTCATCTATTCTCAACATTCTAGATGTGTGCATTACATGTTCAGCAAATACAAATTTAAAGGGGAAGAATAAAAAAGAGATATTCCAGTTCCTTCTTTCAGTATTTAAATATAATGTGTACTTTAAGTAATTTCTTTCATTACATCTTGGGAATTTTGATAATAAATTACCTAAATATTTATGAGGTACAAAAAGTACATTTTTTATTGTTTCATATTTCTTTTCTGGCGCTTCTGGGTAACATTTTGTCCCCAAGTTCTATTGTTGCCATAACATCAAACTATCTACTGTGTCTCCTTCTATAATGCTTTGGAAGATACCTGCCAGGCTTCTTCAAGTAGATATTCTTGTCTCATGTTTTTTATCTTTGCCCTCTCTTTTGACTTGGATGAAATTATGGCATACAAAGCATATGCCATAATGTAAACTGCATTATAGATACTATAACTGAGACCAGACATAATTGTATCAAACAAGGTCCCAGATACACTCTCCAATTTTTCCTCCCCAGTGCAGATCTCCTCATCGCTTTCTTCTAGAGTGGAACTTGAGAATTCACAATTAAAAACATCTTTCCAGAAAATTCTAATAAAGCCATCTCTGTTTTCTGAGAGAGGATTTCTTTCCTTCTGAAATTTCTGGAATCCTCTAGGATAATTTGTATGAACAGCAAGTGATAGAGCTCCATGGAGGAAATGTATGTCCCAATCTCTTGTAAAACCAGGAGATGCAAAATCCATCTGGGCTGTAATAATATATACTCGGTTTTCAATTGTTAGATTGTAAAAATGCAAAAAGTGGAAAAGTGTTCTTAAGATACTAATAGTGTGTATTTCACCTTGTATAATAACAACATTGGCAGTACTTCCAGTGACCATATGTGAAGTTACAAACCATTCCATTGCAATTGCAGCCACATCGCCTGAAAAAGACATTTTAGGCATTGTTTCTATGAAGTCCACACAGATACCTTTCTGAGAATAAAAGGGAAGTACATGCTGTACAAATATATCTCCATTGTCATCATCAGAAACAATCACACCAATCCAGGTCCACTTGAAATGCAGTAGCAACTGAAGAATGCCCAAATAATGATGGGTTGCATTGGGAAACATCTTGTGAAAAAAATGTTTGGTTTCGTCATTTATTACAGGAGAAGACCCATATAAGAACTTGAAAAATAAACACAGGAGGAAGAAGTTTTCTGAATCTTTTCATACTTTTATTAGAAAACAGACCACTAGAACTGGTTTCATTAATTTTTCTGTTCATATTTTTATCTTATATATTTAGCTGATCATTTAAATATTTCTTGTGACAAATCTTCAAAGCAATATATATTTTCTAAATATTTTCATAATATTCAGGAAATATGATTTCTTAAGATGTTTTTTATATTGAACTGCAATCTTTTCATATATATTCAGACTTCCCATAGCTTTTTTCAAAAATTCTAAATTCTAAATCAGTGTTTCTCAGCAAATAGTGGCATATGGATGGATTATTGCAAAGTACAGACAGTCCTTGCTTAACAAAGTTAAATTATGATGGACCCCCCAAAAAAGGTTCCCACGGCTCAGTTCTGAAATTTTGATTATGTCATCCACTCTGTAGTCACATGACTGCATTTTGGATGTTGGACAACCACTTCATCTTTACAACTATGGCAGCATTCTGTGATCGCATGACACAATTTACAATATTCCTCGCTGGAAACTATATGGTCACATGACTTATGACAGAAAATTCTAGAATTCATACAATCATATGTTGAGGGCTACCTGTATTCTAATTTATTATAAGTACAAAAATATGCCAAAGTTTTCAGCACCTAACCATAGATTAATCACCATTTTTTCAGTGCTTCATAAATATATCACCTAGCAGCTTAATAAAATTTCTATTTTCTATTTCTCACTTACAAATCTACCTTAAATATAGTGAACCTGATTGTTTTGTATCTTTTTTCTTTTACCTGTGGAATTTTGTAAGTACTCAAGATGTTTGCCATGTGGAGACAGACTTCAGAAGTAGGTCCCCCAATGACCCCCACAATCATATTGCAAATATCACATTTGTAGTTAGGGATGAACTTGTCCTGAGTGGATAGAAGTTCCATTGAGGCAAGATAGGTCCACCTTGCCAAAAAATAGCTGTTTAAGATGTGGAAGCCCAAACTGACATTGGGTAAGATTTGAGGATTCCCATTGAGTTCCTTCACAGCAAATACCAAGGCCAGGATGTGCTGGTAATTCTGAGTGAACATCCTAGGTTATGAGCAATAGGATCCAGGTTAACACATTCTTTAGATCTTATTACTAATTCTATCTTGACACCATCATTCTTGTAATTGGCCCCTTGAAAATAGAAGAATCATTGTATGGAATAGGTTTGAAACATACTATGTAAAATATACATGCCAATGGATGAAATTCTCCATAAAAATGTAACCAAAGATTCCACAAATGAAAAAAACAAAATGCAGATATTGTTTGCCTCCAAGAAACTTATATAAAAACAGGACATAAGTTTCTGTTAAAGCAAAAAATTGGGACAAGAATATATAACTGCTGTACAGAGTTATAAATAAAGTGAAATCACAAATCTATATCAAATCTATCTGGAACTACCTGGCTGGGAAGATTTGGATCAACCAAAAGAGAGCAGGGAAGATATTAATCTAAAAAATATGAAAAGAAAAGAGGATAAATCAATCATTCTGGATTCTACATATGTTCCAAATAAAAATGAAGAACAATTTTATGGTGATAAGAACCACCAGGTTAAATCAGGCTGCCTTTGGACTTTGGACATAGGAATGGCAACATCTGAACAATGAAAATGGATGCTCGAGTATAGAACTTTTGATTGAACTCAACAATATTTATTGGGATACTAGCTGTACCCAGCCACGCTTTGCTGTGGCTCAGTCTGATTAAATGGAAAAGAAAGAAAAGAGAAAGCGCACGTTTGTAATATGTTTAATTTCACAATGCTTGTGAGTATACAATATTTTTTGTTGTTCCATTGTCTGTGCAGATATAGAGATTATCTGGTTTGCCAACTCTACAACACGCAGCATATAATTGTCCATGTGAGAATCATATTATTTTTTGTATTTTTGTATTTTTGTATTTTGTATTTTTTGTATTTTGTGTATATTATTTGTTTTTAATATGCTGTGAACCGCCCTGAGTCCTATGGGAGAAGGGCGGTATACAAATTAAAATAATAATAATAATAATAATAATAATAATAATAATAATAATAATAATAATAATAATAATAATAATAATATAAAAACACGCGCGTATTCGAATGCAACGTTGTGTTAAAATTTCAAAGCAATTGGTGAAGAACTTTTGGAGATTTAAGATTTTGAACAAACAAATGTTTACATTTTTATTTATATAGATTGTTGGATTATGAAAAACACAATAAAAGGCAAAACTTTAGTTGAACTTGATAGGATAGGGCATTTACTCTACACTAAAAGTACCAAAGGTGGGTGATGTATCGGACTTAGTTTTACAATCAACCAAAAGCTGAAAGACTTTGTAGTAAAATTTGAAAGTATATCAGATAGAGTAGCTCAATGCATCATTCAATTGAACAAACATCATCCAAGCTTACATGCCAGCAATAAGTTACAATGAAGATGAAGTCAAAGAGTTATATGACAATGTCACCTGCCTTCAAGACAAAGAAAAATGCCAACACAAAATACTTTAATGCAAGAATAGGAAGACCAATACCTGGAGAAAAAGCAACTGGATTGTATGGAAGTGGTGAATGAGATAATAGAGGCAACAGGTTAGTAAATTTTGCTGAAGGACAGGAATTTTATATCATGAACTCATTTTACAAGAAAAAAGCTAGCAGAAAATGGACATGGAAGATTCCATCTGGGTACACAAGCAAAATTGACTACATCAAGTGATAAAACTATATTCTGCAATTGTACTGTCATCAATCACTTTAACATTGGAAGTGAACATCAGATGGTACAAGCTAAAGTGAATATATACTGTCAAAAAGAGGGTATTAAAATGATAAAGACATCACAAAAACAAAAATGAAGAGTGATAAGCTTTACAGGAGAGAATAGTGGTTTTGAGATTAACCTATCAAATTGCTTTGCTCTATTGCAAGATTTGGAAGAGATGGACATTACGGACCAAAATGAACAAATACTCAAATGAATCTGCTACATCTAAAGCATAGCCGGAAAAACACTTTGTACAGTCAAATGTCTCTGGTGAAATTATTGATTTAATGAAAAAAAAAAGATGGACAATGAAGAATTCCAAAGTTTCACTAATAAACTGAGGTATATTGAACTTTGCAAGTCCACAAGAAAATGTATCCAAGAAGAAATGTGTCAGTTTAAAATGAATCTTGTGAAAAAAGCAATTAAAAAACAACAACAAAGGGATTAGTAGAGCAAAATGCAAGCTTATAAATACAAGAATGAAGGTTTTTGTATTGAAATGTGAAGATGGCTCTGTGTGTAGAACAAGACAGGAAATGTTAGAAATAATTGGAAAATTCTATTCAGAGCTATACAAAGATCAAGACCACTCAAAAGTAACAACACCCACAAATGAGGAAAAGCCAGATATCATAGTGGAGGAAATAAATATCAAGTGCCATAAATTCAATGAAAAAATGGCAAACATCAGCAAGTATTGTGGGCCCAATTGGCAAAGGAAATCTCAGGACCATGTTGGTTGGAAACATGTGGAAGAGGCCTTCATCCTGCAGTGAATAGACAATGGCTAAAATGATGATGATGAATTTAACATATACATATCTATACACAAAACTTAGACAGATGACAGGTAAATAGATGATATAGATAGATATTGGAGAGAGGAGGAGGAAGAGAAAGAGAGAGAAAGAGAGAGAGAACATGTTTTTTCTATTAGAGAACAATGCTTATAGAGATGCATTTTAGTAGCTTTCTTTCGTTTTCATGGTTTTCAGGCATATAAAATAGAAGATTATTTTTATATAGTGATTATGTCTCACATTCATGCTATTGGATAATTATAGGCAGCTTCTGAATGCTGGAGATATCTTCATATCTTTTGCAGTTTGCAATTTTCAATAAAAAATAAGCACATTGATACATTAATAATCTAAAGTGTTCAATTAAATCTGCCATCTTCTCTTCTTTTCATCCTCAGGTTGGAGTTTAGATCAAACTCCTGCATGAAAATAACTAGTATAAAACTAACTGACCACATAGAAGATATATTTTGTTTTTCATTTCTAAGGTACTTACAAAAGATCATCAAATGTTTCATCAGAAGGCTGCTTCTGAAAAGTTACTGGACTTGAAAAAATGTAGACTTGAGAGGTAATACTAGCAATGATAAAATCCCCAAGCTGGTAATACTTATGGACAATAGGCAGAGGTGCCTTAATAGGACACTTAGTGAGAGGAATCTTTCTCTGACCATAAAGTACAACCATTAGGACTATCATCAGTGCCAAAAATAACATGACTGAGAGTCTTCCTGCTTTATTCCAAATAATCTCACCCTCGTTAAATTTTTAACACCATACGACAATACTTAGCTCACTGAAAGGCAGAATCATAAGGAATCAACTATCAATAATCCTATCAGTGTAGTTCTGCCTGTCTCATCCCTCATGAAAGGGAACATGACATCGTTGTTCATATTAATTAAACATGAGATATTAGTACACTTGACTGTTCACTTATCCTCCTATCCTGGGGGAATGCTTGTGAACCAGGAGGTTACTGAATAGCATTAATTATGGTTAATTTCATAATTACAGTGAGATGGGGGAATATTTACCAATTTTGATTTCTATTTTTCTCAAAAAGTTTTAGAGCTCAATGTTTATGACACCTCAGCTGGCATGTTTATGACACCTCAGCTGGCATCATTCCAATCTATCTCTATGAAAGAATAGTCTGTGGCAGTGCCTGCTCTTTGTGATAAGGTTATTCCCACATTTTGGGTATCCCCAGCTGTGTTGATTTTTGAATGTATGCATCTGTGTGTCCGTGTATATTTTTGTGAACAATAACCATCTATAGAAGCTGTAGGTTTAGAAAATAAGGATCCAATGCTTTCTAACAAGATATATGGAGGGATAAGAAAACTCCACATTTTAAAATGGTTGATAGATTGCACGCTATGAAAGATAAGTTGCTTTGTAGTTATGCTATTAAACAGAAATAGACCTAACCTAGTCTCTTTTAGATGGCACAGATTTTCACAGCAAACAATAAGCCAGTTAGTAATCTCAAGCAAGTAGTGGAGTGTATAATGCCAAATAATTACTAGAAGGCAAAATCAGGAAATTGCTTTTGCTTACTTTAGCTAAGTGATGTAAGGGAATTCACTGGAGAAAGCAATTATGTTTGGAAGAGATAATATCAAGCACTAGGGAAATCAGGAGATCCAGGCAGTTCAAAATGTATATAAAGATTTATTGTAAACTTAAGCTCTCTGCAAGAATCTGAACTACTGATGGTCAAGCAAAATTAGCGGGAGAATAGAGAGGAATTCAAGATGGGCTGGATTTAGTTCTCTTGTGGGTGCAAAGGAACTAATAACGGATTCTCCCTTGGAATCAGCCTGATCATTTCCTACATCAGGGCTTTTCAACCTTTTCACTCATTGTACCACTTTTAGGATAGGGCAATATCCGAGTACCACCAGTCGCCCAGCAAGGTATCAAAAACTTGACCCCCCCAAAAAAAGAGGGGAAAAATGATAACGTACAGGTAGTCCTCGACTTACAACAATTTGCTTAGTGACTGTTCGAAGTTACAACGGCACTGAAAAAGTGACTTATGACCATTTTTCACACTTATGACTGTTGCAGCATCCCCAGGGTCATGTGATTTACATTCAGATGCTTGGCAACTGATTCATACTTATGACGGTCACTGTGTCCCAGGGTCATTTGATTACCTTTTGTAACTTTTTGACAAGCGAAGTAAATGGCCGGGGTGGGAGGGGTGGGGTGGCCAGCTCATCACTCAGGTTGCAGGGTGCCTGTGTGGGTGGGGGGAATCCATGGGTCTCTGGTGGAGGGGAGTGGGACTGCCCTCCTTCCCTCCCTCTCTCCCAAACTTTTCAATAGGCATGTTACTGTTTATACTCTGAAGGGCAAATATGCTGCTTGCTAAGTGAAGCCC